CTCCTCCCCCCAAACCCTCACACTTTCAGATTTACTCATTGCAAAATCAATATCCATCAGCTGTTTGAAATTAAAGGAGAGGTTAGGTTCCAGTTTTATACATGCCTTATTGTATTGCAAGTGCTTTCTACTCAGCCAGATAAATCTTCTTTAAGAGGATTAGGAAACTTTCATTATCTTTATCTAACCTGAACTAACACTAACTCTGAGAAAAAAATAATCTATACACTGGACAAAAGCCGATAGCAGTTGCTAAGAAGCCAGTCCTCTGGAGTTACTTTCTAATTGAAGTGAGTGGGGAGGGGGCGGCAAGACCTATGTTTGTTAGGGCTTGGGAACTGTGGGCTAGGCGGTTGTGAGGGTAGACGGTTGAGGAGGAAGAGAAACAGAAACAACATCTCTTCATGAGTGGCAGAGGTCAGTGTTCCTTTGAATAATTTATCCGCTGACTGTGAACATTTTTTCTCAATGAATCATTCATTGGTGGGAGTGGAAAGGTCCATTCTGCACTCCCCCATTGCTAACCAAGCATGCAGCCTGAGGCATGCGTGAATGAAGCCAGGTCCCAAACAAGGACTTGCTCCAAAGCAGTTCTCAGTCCCTGGCACCAGGAGGCCATTTCTACATTAAAGCCAACTACAATCAGTCACAGAATTGGGAATCTTCCTAGGAAACATGATTGGAGTAGGGTGTCTACTTCTGCATCACCAAGAGAGTGGAAATCCATCACGCTTCCTGCCCCCTTCAAAGAAGGGGTGGGAAGCAAAAGAAGTCAAAATGTATATATGTTTATATGTTGCTAGTCTCAAAGTCACACCCCACCCATCGCGACCCCATAGACAACATTCCTCCAGTCTCTCCTGTCCTCCACCATCCCTTGGAGTCCATTCAAGCCCACACCCACCACCCCAGTGACCCCCATCCAGCCACCTCATCTTCTACTATCCCCTTCTCCTTTTGCCGTCAATCGTTCTCCAATGAGTTGTTCCTTCTATATGCATAGACAGAAATATACTGTAGATTGTGGGGGGCGGGGTGACCAGTATATGCCTACTGAGCCAGCTGTACTGGTGCTAGAAACTGCTAATGGACTACCTCAAGGCTTCTGTTCCACCTTCTTGCAATACTTGATCTTGCATATGCCCTTGTGTGCAAAAGCTCCTAAAACAAGGGATGGTGTCAAATAAAGGAGCATCACCCAAAGCCCTTCAAACTGAAGTCTATCATGAAGCTATGCAGCAATGTCTCCCCTAACAATGAGACTGTGTTCCCCAGTCTATTCTGTCCCCATGAAAACAGCAAGATGAGTCATTGGAGATTTGGACTAAAGAAACAAGTGATACCCCTCCTCCCTCCCTCCCTCCTTGCAATGAACTCAGATCAGGTTTGAGAAATCACTGGCTGAAAATAGTAATGGGCTGGTTGAAGGCACATAGACTGAGGCTCAATTCATACCCCAGATGTATTCTTGGTGGCTTCTGAATACTCCCAGTTGAATGGTGCTCAGCGTGTTCTGGAGGGGGCTGCACCCTCCCTAAATGATCAAGTTCACAATTCCAGGGAGATTGTCCCTCCTGCACAAGAGGCTTACATGGCTCAGAGCAACCTGTGTCAGCTTAGGCTAATATAGGTAAGCTGCTCCCATACCTGAGCAGAAATGCCCTTGCTCCAGGCACCAATGCTCTGATAATCACCAGGATGGATTATTGCAGTGCCTTGAAGCTCAACTAGTCCAGAATGGGGTGGAAGGGAAGAGACACTCCTTTACCAAACAGTTTCCAGGTAGTTGCAATATGCAGAAATATTTCCAGGCAATTCAGTAGCCACATTTTCCAAGCATGGCTTCACCCCCTCCTCCAGTTCTCAAGAAGATAAAGGCAGCAGCTCCTGGAGCACCTTGTAAAACACTAAGTAATGCAGTCCCTGCCACCTAAATCTCAAAGAAATTCTGCCCTGCTCCTCTAAATTTATTAAAGATGGAAGCATCAGTGATCCTCTAACTTGCCAAGATTCTCTGAGCAGTGCTTTGTAGCTCAGTTTATCTTGCTTCTGTTCTCAATTAGGATCTTTTGTTGTTTGCTTGGATAGGAAAGGCACAGACTTTGATTCACTTTGTGAAGTGCTCATCCAAAAGCACCATTTCTTCAATAGAATAAAACAAGGAAGTGTGTGCAAGCTTAATGTGAATTTTTCTGCAGTAGGAGGTTTGCAAACCCAAACTTTGGAGTCCGTCAATTTTCTATGACAACTGCATTCCTGTTTGCATTCAAGATTGCAAACTGGTCAAAATTAAGTTAAACAATAAAAAGAAAGCATTCCCACATCTCTAAAATTTATCTCCCATGTTTGTTTCTGTTCAAAGTCCAAGAAAAGTTGTGTGTGTGTGTGTGTGTGTGTGTGCAAGCACATGCACATGCGTTTATGTGTGCACGGAGTGAGGGCTTCATATGCATTATCTGCATCATTTATACATATTGCAAAATACAGCTCCTCAACACAGAGCTTAGGCTGTGTGGACACATAACGTGACATGTAATTCTACTTGCATGTCCAGGCATGCCTTACTATTCTGGGGTGGGGGGAATGGAATATGGTACATCTCATCCATCACCATCACAGGCCTAACAGTGAAATCCACTCTGAACCTTTTTGATGGAATCAACCACCCTTTGATTCTGGCCTTCCTCAAAAGCCTTCTTCCTCCTGTCCATTTGATGCTCGATGTAAAAATTCTGAGGTGCTTCTCTCAGAAAAGACTTGGGTACTCCCTCTTTCCCCCGCAACAGTTTGAGTTTGGCTTAGACAGCTTCTCTTGCAGCATTATCCCTTGAAGCTCTGTGCCAAAAGCCCTTTATGCCCCACAATGACTTTGGCAGACTTATGCAATCTGTCTCTTCTCTCTCTCCTCTAGAAAGTGATAGCCTTGTTCAGTTTCCGTCTCTTCCTCTACAGTATCTGACAGTTCTTTTATTTTGGCACTGTATTTCCCCCAAAGAAGATAATTCCACTGTCAAGGGCACTAAGGTACCACTGAAGTATTGCTTTTCATATTTAGAAATGTCTCTGTTCTTCTGGAACTTGAATTCTTCTGCAGGTGTGAGAGACAGAATGGCCACACACTGGAGTTTCCTCCTTGGCATTCAACATATTTTCAGAAACTCACCAACCAATTCCTCCTGTCTCATCCAATCATATTTTTCAGACAGAGGTGTGCAATGTTTTTAACACAAAGGTACACTTTGGAAGTGCAATGAGGGAGGGGAAAATGCATCTTCAACTCATTTCCTTATTCCTGTTTGTTCTAAGAGGCACTGCATGTTACAAGAAGGAGGAGTGATGACCAGACAGACTAGAAAGTTCTGTGTCTAACTCAGTCAAGGAAAGGAGGGACAAAAATGTGTGCATTTACATCCAATGCAATGTGCACACCCATTTGCAAAATGCAAGCATAGCTGCTTTGTCAGTCCGCAGACTGTTCAAAAGCATGGAAAGGGAATGCTGGCATCGCTGCCTTCTTGGCAGGAATTCCAGTGGGCCCACATGGTATGCTCAGCTGAATGTCAGAAGTCTTGGGATAGGTCAACCCCTGTGTGAAGCTTGAGGGCAGATATTCAGAGGGATGTGACTATTAATGCACAGAGGTTATGAGATGGTGGTAGGTTTTTCATTCCATAATGACAGAAAGGTAGTTGCTAGGCCAAGTGACAGCAAAGGGTACCTACACCTGGGAAGTAGGAGCTGGAAATGCCCCCAGGAACTACACTCCCATCATCCCTGGGCTTTTGTAGCACCCATTGTCAAAGAACACTTGGGGTGCCACAGGGACACCCTCGAACTCTGGGCTACCACTTGGAGCATGTGAGCTTCATTTTGAAACAAGGACAAGCAAACATTTGTACCAGCCCTCCTCTTCCTCATAACCTGCTCAGTGTTAGGAAAAATCCTGCCTGGAAATCTCCAGAGTTTCTCCCTCCACAAAATCCCCTGATACTCTCCCCTACCCACATCTATGTGTGTGTGCATGTATGTACACACACACCCTGCCTCCCTTTCTTTTATGAACAGGCAACGTATGGGAGATGAGACTTTTCCCAAGCTTTACCTGCCATCCTCAGCTGCTACGAAGAAATAACAATTACATATTTAATATTCTACCCCATCTTTTCAGAACTAATCATTCAAGGAAGCTAACAACAACATAAATGAATGAATCATTAATGACATACAATATATCATAACAATTCTCAAAGCCATACAGCAGGACTCACATCCTGGGTTTCAGATGAGAGTTTTAAATCTGCTCTCTCCCCTCCCCATTCCTGTTATCAAGAACATGGTTACAAACCATGTGGGAACACTGGGACATGGAAATGAAGTTAAATCGGAACTGGACTCAGATATTGATACGTTGGCAAAGCAAATGTTTAGAACAGGGTCACCAATCGCACAGTTCTTTAAAATCAAACTGTCCAGAGAGAGACACATTATCAGCCATTTGTCCACTTGGTTCATTTCTCCTAAAACACCAGGCACCACTCATATCTTGCTCGCAGCATGCAGGGTGGAAACCAGGGGCATCAGAACAGCCATTAAGGACTTAAGAACGTCAGAGCAGCCCTGTGGCAACACGCCAGGGATCCAGCTAGCAGAGTATTCTTTCCACAACCAACTGCTGAAGGGAAATCCACAACAATGACGTGACTGCAGCGGCACCTGCCTGCCCGTGTTGCACCGCAACCGGCACGCAGGAAAAAGTGGGCTCTGATATGAGGTCGCATATAGCCATTAGGCCCAGCAGCCACTGATCACCTCATCTGTCATGAACTGGCCCAGTCCTCTTTAAAGCCATCAAGGCTGGCCATCGTCACTATATAACAGCATGACGACATGTGCAAGTGCCCGGCTGTTCCCAGCGAAAGCTCCTGCTTCAAAACCCCAGAAACCCCCTCAATGTGAAGGTTGCGTGTTCCTTTTCCCCGGTGCATGCCACTTAGTCTTACCTTGCACGATAAGATGGACCCGCGATGTCTTTGGATGATTGTCTGTTTGAACAGAACAGGTGTAAGGTCCTTCATCATATATGTCCACGTTTTGGATCTTGATGCTGTACTGAGTTTTGGTGTTCGTGAGAATAACCACCCGATCATCTATTGACCACTTGTCATTTCCAGCGTAAAGGATCGTGCTCCGGTTCAGCCAAGCGACTCGGGTCACCCGGTCATCCACAGTACACCTGAAAGGGAGGGACAGAAAGGCGATTGAGAAGGGCAGGCTCGAGTAGCGTTAAGCGTGTTTCCTCCAGAAAGAATCCATGTTTTTATTTAATTTGATTTGAGTATATTCTGTGCTGGTGTCTCTTATTTATATTAAAATCAGTCTTCAGTTAAAAACTTCATCACACAGAGAAATCCTCCTCCACACAGGAGGTCCTCCACACAGAGAAATAAAACTCCCCCAGCTAAACCTTGGATACAAGTAAAAGAATTATCTTTGCCTCACTTTTTCAAGTGGTAGGAAGTTCTGGATTGCAGTGTGCACCATGCAAGCATGCACTGGAGGGGGGATCTGCGCATTTTGGGGCGGATCTGCGCATTTTCCGAAGTGCAATATCTCAGGGATGAAGGTTGGAAAACGGAGAAAAAACCCAATTCAATCAGTGAGCGGCAATGGAAGTAAATGTACCTGTCAATCCATCTAACAAAGACGGAACAGATTTAACAAAGTCCTAAGTGGAACTTGCACAAATTAGACAAATTGTAGCCAGAATTAATGGAAATTTCCCTTGCTGGAAATGTATGCAAATCATGGCCCACTTTAAAAGCGGAAGGCGGTGCTGGTGCAGCTGACATTGGCGTATGCGGAGAGCAGGGCTTGGCTTACAGCTGGGCTCTGGCGAAGAGGGCAATTTTGACCTGCCAGCTAGATTCCTGACACATTCCTAGCTGCCACCTTGTAATTGGATACTGCCTGAGCAGCAGTGGCCTGAATCCACACAGAGAAAAGGAAATGTGGACAGGCAAGAATATGTTGTTTTATACATGCCTGAAACCCCCCGGAGAAATGATTCTGCTCTTTACTGCAGTCTAACTCTCTGCCTCACCTCTCTGCTACCACGTAATTTTGGGCCGCTTAAGAACTACATTTCAGAGTGGTTAGTTACACTTGACAAAGAAAAGAAAGCTCCTCTCCAAAAGGGGGGAAGGGAGAGGAGTTGAAATGTTTCCCAGATGTACAGTCCATTTTAATACCATTTGATAGAATAGCTTGATGTATATACTTGTAATCATGGCAGCAGCACCCACGGAAAACACCATAGCAACAACTATGGCAGATTCACTGCCCAGAAGGCAGAATAAAAGGCAGCTCAGTGACCCACTCCATTATTAGTAGTAATATTAGTATTTCTGTACCACCCCCAGAGTGGAAGCTCTCCAAGCATTTTGCAAGAATATATAAACACAAGCGCAATAATAAAAATAGATAACAGAATATAAATATGAGAAAATACAGGATTCTAGTATGAAAACTGAAAATGATTTAAACAATGAATACAGCGTCAATTCAACAACAATTCAACCACCTGTTAAAACAGCTGACATATGCTATCCAGTCCCAGCTCCGGCCCGTCCGCGGTCCACCTGGCGCCGTCATTATTGGTTTTTCGGCACCAGGTTAAGCCCTTTTTATTCCAGCAATATTTTAATAAGTTTTAATATTGTCTTTTCTATGTTTTTAACTGCAGCCAGTGTTTGTCGGGAATTTATTTATGTTATTTTTTATGTTGTAAGCCGTCCTGAGGCTTTTTGTGACAGGATGGCATATAAATATTTTAAATAAATAAATTAATATTAATATGAGGGGTTAGAGGGTAGCCCAACCCGATGCTGAAAGGATCACAATGTTGGTGCCAGGTGGGCCCCAGTGGGGAGGCCATTCCATCAGGTGAGGATGCTACTGAGAAAGTCCTCTGCCTTGCTGCTTCCCCTCTGGGCTTCCATTGGAGGCAGCAATGCATAGAATCATATAATAGTTGAGTTGGAAGGGGCCATGGAGGCCCTCAGGTCCAACCTCCTGCTGTTGCAGACACCATGTCGCACCACCCCACTCAGAGGGCTGCCCAGTTTGAATGTCTCTAGTGTGGGAGAGGCCACCATCTCTCTAGGCAACTGGTTCCATAGTTGTATCGCTCTAACACCAAGAAAACTTTTCCCAATATCTAGCCTGAATCAGGGTTGTCGCAACTTGAATTGATTATTCTTTCTCCTATGCTCTGCCATCAGCAAGAAGAGATCTTGACCTTCCTCATTGTGACAACCTGTGAGGTACTTATAGAGGGATATCATGCCCCCCTCAGTCTTCTCTTCTTAAGATGGAACATGCCCAGTTCTCTCAATCTCTCCTCACAGGGCAGTGTTTCCAAACCCGGGATCATTTTTGTTGCCCTCCTCTGGACCCTTTCTAATTTTTTTGCATCTTTCCTAAATCTTGGTGCCCAAAACTGGACACAGTATTCCAGATGAGGTCTGACTAGTGAGGAAAAACACATCATGACCTGCTAAAATTGCATCAGGCTAAAAACCAAATGTATGATTCACAGACCAATTTCTGCTTCGTTGGAAGCTGTATACTCAAACCTTCTGCATCACCCTACCTTCCTTCTGCGTAACCCTGTAAACACTTTCAAATTGTGACAAATTGTGCAAATCAGATTCTCACTGCCTTTGTCCCCTTTGGTGTCTCATTTACCTATTAAGGAACCTACGGTTAACCAAAAAGTTTGCGTAATTGCTTGTGATTGGCTGTGTTCTGTGCTGGAGATGACATTAACCTGGAGTATCTAATGCCTTTTCCTGTAAGAAAAACCTGGTTCAGCTGAAAGGTATGCTCAGTTCTTGTGTGGGCTGACTTGGCTGCCCACACAGGATGTTTGCCTGCACCTGGGAGCTCTTGAAAGGCCTGAATGGCTTGGGGAACAGTGCTATGCCTGTTTGGATGCAAGGGAAGGAGAACAACAAGTCACAGAGTGGGCTGGGGATTTGGGGAGTTATAGGACTTGCTGTCCCCCCTCTGCTGCCCCTGCTCTGCTTTGCAATAGATTTAAACCTGCAAACTTCCAGTTTGCACCCTGAACAAAAACGGCACACTTTGCCCCTGCTTCTGTGTCCTGCCAAGTCTCCATTTAGCAAGCCTACCCCTCTCCTTCCACTTAGCAGATGCCCCTTTGTCCCTGGACCCTGAGCGCTGCTTACCCCCTTCCTCCTTCCCCCTTCCTATCCATCTTAATCCTGCCACGCAATGCTGTAGCCTGATGTTCTAACACTGGAATCCTCCCTTTATTCAAATTAACTGTTGGGGAGCTAAGCACAGCCTAGTTAAGTTGAGCCCTAAGGGGATTGCAGTCTAGTGGACTATTACTCCTGTCTCAGTTCATTATAATGAATAATAAAGAGATACTTACACACTTTTTTTGGCTAAATTATTCATTGCATGGACTGGAAAAAATCAGGGCAGTAATATGTAAAGCAGACAACTTGCACGTCTGTGTTCATATAAATATCCAGCATAAAGCCCTTCAAGGAACCCGCCAGTCTGCTCATTAAAGATGAAGTACAATGATCATGGTTTGAAGAGACAATCAGAGGTGCTTCATGCTGGCTTTGTATAGTGGGTGGAAAAGAAAAAACAACTCTGATGTGCAGATTCTGACCCCACTAGGCCAAATCTTTTATTTCTCCCCATTTCTCCCCTCACTGTTCAAAGCCTGCTTGCTTGATATTTATTGATGTGTCAACCGTTAACATGCTACAGACAGGGCTATGTGCATTTCACACAACAACAACAATAATAATCCATATTATATCTGGGCAATCCAAATTCTTTATCTTCTCCCCCAAAGCAAAACAAAAACAGAGGAATCCTATTAGTTCCTTGCACACTTGCACTCATTTTCCTACCCCTTGTTTTGACAGAATTTAGTCCACAATGGTTGCTATTCTGCATAGACAATTATGCTTTCACTGGTCATATGACAGCCAAGAAAACAGTAAACCATTATGATTTTCAATCACTGGAAAATCTTGTTGAGAGATCTCTTTGGCTTTTTTAAACAATCCAGATCAATTATCCATATATATCAAGTTCCTTTCATCTTTCCTTACAGGACTTGGTTTCCATAGCCCTTCCCATCAACAAAATCTGAAATCATGGCTGTCTTGATCCACTGATTTCAATGGATCTCTCCGGATGTCACCTGCTGTTTCCCTGTGAGTTCAGTGCCACAAAGGAATCCTTTAAATGTCCGGGCTCGTGGAAAAACGTCCAAGAAACATAACCTATGAAACACCCGAAACGCACCTTGAGCTAGGATGAGGCATGCTGCTGGTAAGTGTTTCGAGTCTAAACATCACATGAATAAAGACTGCATATACATGTGAGCCATGGACAATGTGGTTACTTGCCCCATGAGCACTATGCAGTGGTCCTCACGTTATACAGTCATTCCACATGGTTTCCCTACAGAGATAACAACCAGGTCAGAGTGACTCTAACCATGATGGCATGCACCCCTTTCAGATTCTGCAAAGCCCTCCAGTGTTTGGGCACGCTGAAATGAACTAAGTCTGCAATAGAGAATGTATCTTCTGGGATAAATTTATGGTCAACATCAGAGCTCTTTCTCCAAATGCTTCCTTCAAGGGAAGTTCAGATGATGTCAGGTTGGTAGGGGGGCTTTTCGACGGTGGCCCCCTTGGTTGTACAGCCATCTCACTGCTGGAGTCTGTCTGGCTGTCTGTTCAGCACTGAGTCCACCTCTATGCTCAGGCACTGGGCATATGATGGATTCTTAATTTGTTCTTTTATGGTGCCATGGTATTTGGCTCTAGTTGATTTTAGCAGTTTTATATGTTTGCATAGTTTATTTTTGTTTGTTTTAAGATAGCTTGATCCCTCCCTTTTTCTCCCCCTAAGAAAGGCAGGTAGAATCAGCCTTGAGGGGAAAAACCAATTTAGTAATGTCATATATTGCACATAAACATCTCTTTGTGTGTAGGAAGTGCAGTTGCGTGTCAGAAAACTTAATTTTAATTTATTCATACTATTTGTATTCAGGTATCCCTTTTCCTAAATGAGCTGCTTGCCCAAAATAGAGCTTTACAAATACAACAGAGATATGGATACTGAATAACTCTCCGAAGTCCCTGTTTAATTCTTGCTGATAAGCCAGCAACCATT